ACACATAAGAAGAGAGAGGGACTAAGAGATGGTGGCCATGAGGCAGACTTGCAGAATGTGCCCTTTGGTGGTATAAATCATTATATATACCCGAGTGTTTTGATGGGTTTTTTTAAAAGAGCTAAAGTGAATAGAGAGAAATACTGTTAACTGATGGTGCATGGAGGGGAATGCAATCATTGTGATGAAACATGTTGTATGATTTGTTGAATGTAAACCTGATGATCTGCCCTGTAAACTTTCACTCAATCCACAATAAAAACTTAAAGAAAAACAGAACAAAACAAAAAAAACCGGTTGCAATATACAGAAGGATTCAAAAAGTTTATGGAAAAGTTAATGAAATTTTCCACCAACTTTTTGAAGGGCCCTTGTACATAGTTGTTGTTATGTGCCATTGAGTTACTTCTGACTCACAGCGACCCTGTATAAGGTTTCCGAGACTGTAACTCTTTACATAAGCAGAAAGCTTCATCTTTTTTCCATGGAGCAGATGGTGGGTGTGAACTGCCAGCCTTGTGGTTAAAGTCCAGTGCTTACTTTACAGAGCCACCAATGCTCCATTTGTATACAGTTGTAGCTGCTTTTGTGTGCTGTTAAATCAGTTTGACTCAGAGAAACTGGAGTTTCCAAGGAATGGCTGGAGGGTTTGAACCCCCAAACATGCTGTAAGAAGTCCAGTGCTTATTCTACAGTGCTACACCAGGACTCCAGATACAGATAAACAAAAGTAATAAATGAAAGCACTCCAAACTCCGGTAAAACAATTTATTAATAGTATGGTTTTCCCAACATATAAAATTGGGTTCCTAGTGGTTACAAATCGGGCAGCTAACCTCAGGGTCAGCAGTTTGAAACTACCAGCTGTTCCACGGGAGAAAGGTGAGGCTTTCTGCTTCCATAAAGATTTATAGCCTCGGAAACCCTATACAGGGTTACTATGGGTCAGAACCAACTTGATGGCACTTAATAATAACAACAACAACAACTCAACTATACACAGGAGTCCTGGTGTGGCGCTGTGGTTTAATATGCCAGACTGCAAAACCGTGTGAACTGCAAGGTTGGCAGTTCAAGCTCACCAACTGCAGCTCGACTCGACAGTACTTAACAACAACTATAAACAAGGAGGCCTAGTGTGGCACTGCAGATTAGTGCACTGGACTGCAAGGTCAGTATGAATCACAAGATCGACAGTTCTAGCTCACTAGCTGCTCCTGGGAAACCCTACACAGGGTCGCTATGGGTCAGAACTGACTTGACGACACTTAACAACAACTATATACAACGAGTCCTGGATAAGCACAGTAGGATAAGCACTGGACCAAAATGTCAGTTTGAACCATGAGGTCAGTGTATATTAGAAGGTCGAAGGTTCAAACCCACCAGCTGCTCCTCAGAAACTCTATACAAGGTCACTATGAATTGGAACCGACTCAATGACACTTAACAACAACATACATTTTCTTAAATTTTTAGTGTTATTTTTTTCAGTTGATAAAAGTCATACATGCTTTTTTAGTAAGTTGAGGGAGAGTCAAGTTTGTGGAAGAAGTCTATATTTTTTTAGTTTCATTCTTCCATGAACTTTTTGAAGCCCCTTCATAGATGCAACAATATAAAGCTATATAAAAGAAGAGCTACCACTTTCATCTCACTTAAAACCTAACCTGTCCAATTCAATTCCCCCTGCAGTAGCTAAAAGAGTCCAGCGGTGCTATTCAAACCTACCAACCAGCCACATCTTGGTAGAAAGATGAAATCACCTGTCTCCGTAAAGATTTATAGTCATAGAAACTCTAAATAGCATTCATTACTGTGTGTTTACTGTCAGTTTGTCATACTGTGGTGGCTTGTGTGTTGCTGTGATTCTGGTATTTTAGACACCAGCAGGGTCACCCATACTAGACAGACTTCAGCTGAGCTTCTAGACAGAGACAGACTAGGAGGAAAGAGAGACAGACTGCCGGATATTTAGTCACTGAAAATCTTATGAAGAGCAGCGAACACCGTCAGATAGCACCAGAATACTGAATATTGAAACATGATGAAAGCACCAGAATATTGTCAGATACCATGCCAGAAGAGGAGTCTCTATGCTTAAAAGGCACTTAAAATATGACTAGAGAAGAGATGCTTCCACAAAGTAGATTTGACCATGATGACACAAATGGAGTAAAGCCTGTGGGACCTTCAACTGCTGATGGGCCACAACTCAAAATGAAGAGAAAGAGCTGTAAACATCCATTAATAATCAGAACATGGAATGTATGAAGTATGGGATCTAGGAAAATTGGAAATTGTAAAAAAAGAAATGGAATGCATCAACATCATTATTTTAGCTATTAGTGAGCTGAAATGGACAGGTATTGGCCATTTTTGATCTGACAATCATATGGTCTATTATGTCAGGAATGACAAATTGAGGAGAAATGGTGTCACATTTACCATCAAAAGGAACATATCAAGATGTCTTAAAGTACAATCCTGTCTGTGATAGGATAGTATCTACATGCCTACAAAGAAGACCAGTGGTGGTGGTGGTGGTGGTGGTGGTGGTGGTATGCCATGGAGGTGGTTCCAACTCATAGCGACTCTGTACAGGGTTTCTGAGGCTGTAAATTTTCTCCCGCGGAACAACTGGTAGTTTCGAACAGCTGACCTTGCGGTTCACTGCGAGGTTGGTGCAGGATAAGGCAGTATTTTGTTCTGTTGTGCACAGGGTCGCTATGAGTTGGTACCAACTCAGTGGCACCTAACAACAACAGGAGTTGGAAGTGGTTCGATGGTACTAGGTTTGATTTTGTTTGGATGGTAGCCAATGTTAACAGCCTCGTATTGTATATTCTTTTAAATTTTTAACTATGCCTAAATCAAATAGACGAATGTCTACTGATATGCTTAACTCTTTAAGGTTTTTATTTATTATAAAAATTGGATAATACCTCTTATTGTTTGTTTTCCTATATCATGGGCACCTCCAGGTCAATAGAAACAGATTTCATTCATTGTTTTTCAACAGCTACATAAAATTTTATAAAACATGCATGCACCATAATTCACTCAAGGTTCCTACTGGATACTCAGGTTGTTTGTAGATTTTTAGCATTGTAAACAATACTGCAGTAAACATCCTTGCATATACATCCCTACACTGATATATATATTTTTTATCCATAGAATGTTGTTGTTAAGTCCTGTCGAGTTGGTTCCGACCCACAGTGACAGTGTATAGGCTTTCCAAGGAGTGGCTGGTGAGCTTGAACCTCCAATCTTGCAATTCAAACCAACTTTGCAGTCCAGCACATTAACCCACAGCGCCACACATCCATAGAATAGAGTCCCCCAAATAAGCTTATATGTATTTTTAATTAATATATATATCTTTGCTAGATAACAGCAATATATGAGGTCATATATTCTGACCAACACAACAAATTGTATACAGGTAATTCATTGTTATTTTAATCTGTGTCCCTCGCCACCAATCCCCCCCATTCCGCAACCCTACTCTGCTACAAAGGCCAAGGCTTTCAATTGTTTATTGACCACACAACACAGGTCTTCTTCCTCTATTTATTATATCTTTTGTCCATTTTTCTATTGTTACGTTATATAAATATTTTCCTAAAATGAGAACCATAGTTCATACCCCATGCAAGAATATGTCCCAAATTAATTAAAGATATAAAAAAACCAAAACTAAACCAAATAACAAAACTATTAATATAAAATAGAGATTACCTTTTTAAATTTGGAATGGGAAGACTTTTCTCAAACAAGACAGAAAACTCAGACATAAGGAAATGATACATCTGATCACATTAAAATTAAAGAGTTTTATTTGTATTTTGCGGCATTTCAATCATGAACAAATATTGTTTACAATAAAAAATACAGTTGTTTTGTTTCTAATTGTCAGCAGTCATTAACCAAGCTATCATTATTCTAGTATCCTGAGATAAAGTAGAGGAGCTTCATTAGAAACACACGTACTGCGTTCCTAAGGACTCATAACCAAACACAATTATCTTTTAACATTGCTACTACTAATAATAATAATGGATCACCACTGATGTGGCACTGTGGATAAACACTGGACTGTGAACAGAAGGTCAGCGGTTCAAACCTACCAAGTGCTCTTTGGAAACGCTGTACAGGGTCACTATGAGTCGTAATTGACTCAATGACACTTAATAACAACAATCCATCTGTCAGCCTGTCATACTGGGGTGAATTATGTGTCGCTTTGATGCTGAAAACTATGTCGCTGATAGTTCAAATACCAGCAGGTCAACTATGTTAGAAAGGTTTCAGCAGAACTTCAGCCAGACTAAGACAGACTAGGAAGCTTTGATCTGCTTCTGAAAATTAACCAACAAAAATCTTACAAATCTCAACAGGATATTGCCTGACATAATGCTGGCAAGTGAGCCTCTAGGTTGGAAGGCAGTACACAAGAGCCGCAAGAATGAAGTTAAACATACCAACGATTATGAAGATGTCACAGGACTAGGCTTCATTCTGTTACTACACGGAGCTGACGTCGTACTAACTAACTAACAGTAACAACAACAATAGAAGTTAGAACTGTAATTCTAACTTCTCAACTCTTATTTCTGTATCCTCTTCATCAACTATATCCCTTTTATAGTTGGTGTATTACTTTACTTTAAGGTGATCTACAACTAGGAGTCCTGGTGTGGTGCGGTGGGTTAATGGGCCAGACTGCAAAACCGTTCGAACTGCAAGGTTGGCGGTTCAAGCTCACCAGCTGCTCCTCGGAAACCCTATACAGGGTCGCTATGGGTGGGAATCAACTCGATGACGCTTAACAACAACAATATACGTAGTAACAGAATCTTTAATTACACTCCTCTGAACAAGCATTCTTCTACTTCTCTCACCTCCATGGCCGTTATGAAAGTAAAGCCTCACACAACATGGGAGGACGCTTTGTTATATCATACATACATGAGACAACAAAATAGATGACTTACCTAAATGGGGAAACAGATCAGTATCCAACTGATGTTTTTGGGTGCACAGTTTCACCAGTCTCTGCAGTTGACTTAGACACGAGAAGTGTGGCGAGAAGGCCGTGGCTTTCATAAGGACCCGGTCAGTCCTGGGTGGGTCCATGACAGGAGCCCTACTAGATGGCAGGAGGGGCAGAGGTCTCTTGTGAGAGCACTGCCTTGCTTGTGCTATAGTGTGTGTGGTGGGTGCCACTCCCTGCATTGGTAGGCTGGTGTTCTGAGGTTGAGGTGACTTGCAGACTAAACCCTGCAGTGGCGCTGGAGGCTTTAGAGAAGTGGATAAAGGTGGCAGGTGGGAGTGTGGCTGTGGAGGCTGCTGCTGAGAAGGTGCAGGAGGGGGACTAAAGTGCTCTTGTCGAACTTTCAAAATCTCGGTCTCTCTCTGGCGTTGCCGATTCTGGGCCAATTTGCTCTGCAACTTCTTTTTTACAGTTGCTCCTTTCTTTAGGTCATCATCTTCCTCGTTGAAAGCAAATGGGTCTTCCAACTCAGTTTCCAGGTAGTGGAGAGGGACCCTTGCCCCCGGTGGAGAGAGGGACCTTCCATCCAGTCCATTGGGCATCTTCAAGGCCAACGTGGGCACCGTCAGGCTGAAGGCCATGGTATCCATCTGGTGCCTGACCTTTACGTCAGCTACAGGATCATTCTTTTTCTTCCTCTCTTTTTTCGGGATAAAGCCAAGTACCTGCAAGTGGCTGTTGCAGTACCTTTAAAAATAGACACACCCATTGGACAGTGCTCATGATACATGGTAATGCAGTAGAATATAAAACCATGTATTAAATGCCAATGTTAATATATAAAAAATGCATGACTCTAGTAACACTTGATCTTCACAGACTTAACACAAGCAATCCTCAGTCTGTGTAATCCTGATGAAGCAAATACATGAATGGTACAGAGACAAGTCATGCAGCTAGTGAGTGGCTCTGGAAACTGCCCAGCTATTGCTTCTCCCATGGCACAGTAGGCACTAAAATAATGCCCATTATACAAATGAGGAAACTAAGCTCTAAAAGAACTTAAATAATTTGCTCAGTACCACCTGTTATGGGTTATTTGTATCAAAGGAAAAAGATATTTTCAAGTCCTAACCCCCACTAGCTGTCCATCTGAATCAGGGTCTTTGCCAATATAATTAGTTACTTTGAGGGTCAATACTAGAATAGGGAGGAGAACAATCCTATATTAAATATTTCCCCACCAAAGTCTATCGCTGCAACATCAACAGTCAGGGAGTCATCTGTCTGAATATCCCTAAGACACCTGGAGTCCTGCTTTGACTATTTCAAAGGTTTTATTGTCTATTTGCTCACTTTTACTATGATGTCTATTCAAAGAGGAGAAGAGACACCGAGACAGATACAGAAGGAAGACAACCCTGGGAGGAAGGAGACAGAGATTAGTCAGGTTGCTGTAAGCCAAGGATCACCTGGGGTCACCAGAAGCTAACAGAGGTAAAGAAGGATTCCTCCACTAGAGGCTTCAGAGAGCGACCTCTAGCCTCCAGAACGTTGAGATAATACAGTTCTGCTGTTGTAAGCCACTCATTTTGTGATACTCTGAATACAACACCTTTCTGGAAAGTGACAGAGCAGGGACTTGAACTAGAATCAAAGTTCATGAAGCTTCTTTTTGGTCTCCAACAATAGGCAAGTTATTTTGTAACTTAAATGCTATTTTTAAAATACTATGAGAGGATAGTCTTTTTGCATAATGAGAAAAGTATCATAATATCATGCCAATAAATCACAATTGAAAATCAATGGAGACTTTTAGCCACAAGGAAAAGTAGAATTTTCCAAATTGATACCTCTTGTACAGTTTCACAGTATATTAACAAGTATGCCAAAAACACTATTCCATGCTTAAATTTGGAAAATGTGACTTCAAATTAAACAACCGTTTTACTGCTGTTTATTCCTACTGGAGGACTCCTTAAAGCATCTAATATAATTAACGTGCATTATGAAGCTCCAAGATAGACGTATATGGCAATGTTTCCCAAAATTATTTGAAAATGGAACCCATTTTTAGTGCAGCATACCTATGAAATTGCCACAGGAAACAGTTTAGGGAAAAAAGTCATAAAGCAAAATAAATAGTTTTAATACTCCTCAAGTCCATTGAGATACATTAAAAAAATTTAAAATTAATAATTGTCAAAATACAGATTACCAAATAATCAAGACTAAAAAGAAACAAGGAATCCTTGTGTGGTGCTGTAGGATAGCCACTGGACTGCTAACCACAAGGTCAGTGGTTCAAATCCACCAGCCGCTTCTAGGAAACTCTATATAGGGTCACTATGAGTCAAAACTGACTGGGTGGCACTCAACAACAACACAAAGACACATACATCTACGGAATTTGTTGGTTTGTCTTGGAAATGAATTCTCTGAGACTCTCTTTTATTTTAAATAGGCCTATTTAAAAAACAGAGCTCTGGTAGCGAAATGGTTACAAGTCGGGCTGCTAACCTCATGGTCAGCAGTTGGAAAATACCAGCAGTTCTGTGGGAGAAAGATGAGGCTTTCTGCTCTTGTGACGATTTCCAGCTTCAGACACCCTATACAGGGTCGCTATGAGTCCGAACCAACTCGATGGCACATAACCACCACCATCATTAAGAAAAAGCTTTCTAGGTAATAAAGTAAATCTCCACCTTATGTGGGTATGTGTATACCTAGAAGGTTTGAGCTACGTTCACAATAATCTGAACTCTCTAAAAACCAAAATTAAACCCTTGCCTCTTCTAAAATGGAAAGTTCTTCATAACTAGAACAGCTTGGTTATGAACAGCATTTAAAACAATTGTACAAATATAAATTTATACTCTATAAGAATGCATGTGTCCACCATTTGTCTGTCAGTTTGTCGTGCTGTGGTGCCTTATGTGTTGCTGTGATATCAGAAGCTATGTTACTGGTATTTTAAATACCAGCAGGGTCACCCATGGTGGACAGGTTTCAGATGAGCTTCCAGATTAAGCCAGACTACGAAGAAGGAGAAGCGGATTACTCCTTCTTATAAATAGCACCAGAAATTTGTCAGATATGGTGCCCGATGATGAGAACATTACGAATAGTACCAGAACAGTGTCAGATAAAGTTCTAGAAGATGAGCCCCCATGCTGGGGGAAGAGCTGCCTCCTCAAAGTAGAGTGGCCGTGATGACACGTTTGGGAACTTCATTGCTGATGCTGCACAATTCAAAATCAGGAAAATGGCTGCAAATATCCATTAATAATCAGAACACGGAATGTAAAAAAGTATGAATCTAGAAAAACTGGAAGTTGTCAAAAGTGAAATTAAATACATAAAGATGGATATCCTAAGATATCCTAGGCATTGTTGTTGAGTGCCAACTTATAGCAAGTGATTTCCGAGGAGCAGCTGGTGAATTTGAACCACTGACTTTGTGGTTCACAGTCTAGTGGTTATCCTACAAGGCTGCACCAGGACTCCCTAGGTATTAACTGAAACAGACTGGTATTAGACATTTTGAATCAGACAATCATACTGTTTACTATGCCAGGATGACAAATTCTAGAGGAATGGTGCAGCATTCATTATCAAAAATCATACCAAATAACATATAAAATCTAAAATAACCCTAACACATAGTGTTCAAAGGTACAGTGCCTTGTTGCTAAGTGTAGTCCCTGGGAAGCAGCTTGGTGGCACCCCTCACTCTCCCTGCTCTGGGTGCATGGTGACCGTAACGGCTCCCTAAACACTAGGTTTGCCTCTCGTCATTTTTTGTGAAAGTGAAAATCCTCTTCAGATTTATTTTGGTTAGTGAAGAAAGGAATTAGAGTTGATCTCTTTTCAAAAAGCTAGTGGCTTAAAGCAGACTTCTGAAAAGTGGAGGATACCTGTACCTGGTCCTTTTTCTACCTGAGATTAAAATTGTATTCCTTGTGGAAGTAAGCAGCTGTTTCCAACTTTCAGGTATCGTCATCTGAAGCCTTAAGTGCTATTAGAAAGTCTAAGAGGGTGTTTCCAAATCACCATGTTACACTTCACTCATTTTGGTGGGCTACCAGCAGAAATTATTTATTTCACATTTTAAATGAAAAAAGTACTCATTGTGTCCTTAAAATGTATGGTCACTTTTCAACCTATTTATGCAGGTGATATTCGCTAATGAAAAAGAACATAGAGAAGGTTGTGTGTGTGTTTTTAAAGATATAAGGAAAAGATTCAAATATCCTACCTAAATATAAAAAGCATCTAAAATTTTAGAAAACAAACCTGCATCTCTCTGTAATGTTTTACAATGATCACTGCAGTTTCAATGACGAGCTGAAAAGTCTAGAAAGTCTATAAAATAATAAAAACATTAAACATACTAAAAATACAAATTTATTACTCCATTAAAAAAAAACAAACAAAACTGATCTTCCCAACTTTCTTTAGAAGCATTCCAAAGTTTACTTAGATTCCCCCAGGGCTCAATATTCAAGTCACTGAATCAAAAAGGAAAGACAAAGAAAAGTTCCAAGTCTACCAACTAAATCAAGGGCTGATTCCCACGTTCGGTTCTTACCTACGATCTTCTGATTTGGGGATGGGGTTGGTGCAGCGCTGACTGTTATACTTCGCCACATATTCACATTGCTTGAAGGGAGCAGTCTTGTCCTCCAGAACGTGTCTGATACAGAAAGCGTAGCCGTTGAGTCGCCGCTGCTTGCACAGTTTGGGGCTATATGAGCACAAGGGCTTATTGTCAACCTCAGAGAAGTGTATATGTTTCCCTTCATACATCACGTGACTCTATTCCTTGTGAACATCAGCTAAAAGGTCACCACAAAAAAAGAACCCAAATGACAAATCAGAGAGTATAAGGCAGATTGAAGTTGAGAATTTCACGGAGGGACTTCTGGCCCCCCCACAAGCATACCTGATTTTAAATCTTCTGCACCATAGCAATGTTAAGAGAACCCCAAGGATACCACAGTTCGGAATGCTGCAGAATCAAGATGAAGCAGATTGTCTACGAAATATCAAAAGGCCTAGTTAACAAACAGAAATAAGCAAAGCTAACTCAGTCTGGAAGTAAAATCCTCTAATAGCACTTTCCCTCATGTGATGGGTTTTTCATTATAACCCAAATCTCAGTAAGTTAAAATAAGAAATGAAGAGGCATTATAAAATATTAAATTATCTTACTCAAAGGAACTGAACTAAGTAACTTTTACTCTGGTTAAGTTCTGTCAAGCTCTCAAATCAGTAGACCTTTCACCAAATAAGTGTCATAAAGTGACGGGTCTTTTGATTTTGTTACTGAGGGTCACAGATTTTCAGAACCCAAGTCATTTTGCAATGCTAATGAAATGAACAATAGACCCAAAATTTCCATCAGAAATTCAATAGTGCTTAAAAATGATTTTTATAACAAACATAGCATTTTATCAATTCTACATGTATACTACAGAGACTTAGAAATTCTATATTTTTTTGATATATTGGTAAAATATCTGTTAATTTTTAGCAAATATCTCTATGAAATACAGAAAAGCAAATTCCTGCTTTAAATTTTTTTTCTCCTTCTAATTATTTCCCACACTTTTGTCATCCAAATGAATTTCTTGATGCCCAAACACTAGTTACAAACCACACTTACATCATTCATTTCAGTGCTCTCTCCCACCCACCCTCAATAAGCTAATAATTATGGTTTAGGAGTCTTTGGTGGTATAAGAAAATAGGAGGAAAAAATGATACAATCTTCATTACCTCTCCACACACAAGGTCCAATAGCAGCATTATATTTTAAAACACCATGTAGTCTGTAATGAAATGGAACTCAACAATTTGTGAAGTCAAGATCTTAGGGAGCTAATGTGGTCTAACCCACCTTCCTTCATATTCCCAAAGTTAGCCAGTGGCTGAGGGAAAAACTTACAGCACAAATGTAAAAACTCAAGAAACATCCTCTGGTTTAATGAACTAGATATGAAATTTCTTATACCACCGAATGACAGGACAGATGAATGCTTAAGAAAGCAGAAGACACCATGGCTCAAGTTCCAAACTTGCCACTTACTGTGCTTCCTTGAGCAAATGGTTTAACTTCTCTAAACCCCAGTTTACTTGTCTGCAAGCTAGGGATAATAATAGTTGCTTTGTTACCATTCGGTTGCTAAGAATTGATACAAAGCATGTAGCACACCAAATACCGTACCTAAGACATGGTAAGCGTGAAAAAAAATGTTATTGTTAGGTGCCATCGAGTTGGCTTCAACTCATTGCAACCCAATGCACAACGGAACAAAACACTGCCCGGTTCTGTGGCATCCTCACAACTATCAATATGACTGAGCTCATTGCTGCTGCCACTGTGTCAGTCCATCTCCTTGGGGGTCTTCCTCTTTTTTGCTGACCCTCCACTTTACCAAGCAGGATGTCCTTCTGCAGGGACTGGTCCCTCCTGACAATATGACCACAGTACGAGAGAAGTCTCGTCATCCCCACTTCTAAGGAACATTCTGCTTGTACTTCTTCAAAGACAGATTTGTTTCTTCTTTTGGCAGTCCATATACTTTCTATATTCTTCACTAACACCATAACTAGAGAGATGTTATCCAAAGATTTTTATTTTTATTTCTATTATTGTACTCTACCTGTCAGTAGTAAAGTTAGAAAATGTATATTCCTCTTATGAAACATCTCACTTACTTTAACAGGAAAAAATAAATAAAAAGGAAACACCTGGAATATCTGCATGTTAAAAAAAAACCACATCCATTATAAACAGTATCTAATCACCCATCAATGCAAAGTAAGAATACAAGCTTTCACTCCTTCTCACTTTACTAGGATACAAGAAAGAAGAGTGACTGAAATTTACATTTAGGTCTATACGGAAGCTCTGGATGTTCAGGACAAGAAGCATTTCAAAGTAAACCCATATGGTTTTCACTTTGCCCAGTTCATCCACCTGGTAAACACAGATGTCTTTCATGAACTAGTTCAAGCAAATCCATAAAAATATCCTGGATATAAGTAAGTGAAAAAATAATTTATAGAATCAATTTGTCTTTATGAATAAGGAAGCCTATATACTATATATCGATATAGCACTCGTAGGATAAGCACTGGACTGCTAACCACAAGGTTGGCAATTCAAACCCACCAGCAGCTCTTCAGGAGAAAGATGAGGCTTTTGGCTCCTGTAAAGATTTTCAGCCTTGGAAACCATACACAGAGTTGCAATGAGTTTGGATCAACTTGATGGCAGTGTGGTTAGTTTTCGTTTTATGGAAAGATGAGGCTTTCTGCTCCAGTAAAGATCTGCAGTCTTAGAAACCCTACATACGGTCTTGAGAAGGAACTGACTTGAAAGCACTTCACAAAAGCGTTATGTCTATACATAGGAAAATATTTTCCAAGAAAATGAAAAGACAGCCTAACAGATTTGGAGAAAATATTCTATCAGAAGCACCAAATATCTGATGAGGGTTTAATACCCAAAACATTTTATGTTTTGAAATGTTTGGAACTCGTTTGACATAATAACAAAGACAAACAACCCAATCAAAAACATGGATTCAGAACTTACACTGATTTCACTAAAGATGAGAAACAAATGGCCAACAAGATCATGATAAGATAGATGCTCAACATCACTAGTTATTGTTGCTGTTAATTGCTGTGGATTCTGATTCACGGTGACACTCAGTCATTAGAGAGATGCACAGTGACATATCACTCACATCCACTAGAATAGCTATGATCAAAAGAAAGAAAAAAGAAGTGGTATTGGTGGCAATAATGTGAATAAACTGGAACCTTCATCCAATCCTGGTAGGAATGCAAAATGATGCAACTACAATGTAAAAACAGTTTGACAGTTCCTAAAAAAGTTAAACCTAGAATTACCATTCGATTCTGCAATCCCATATACTATAAGAAATTTGTATAGCAGTGTTCACTGCAGCGTTATTCATAATAGCCAAAAGGGGGGAAACAACCCTAATGTCCATCAACATAGAAATAGGTAAATAAGCCATATGCATTCAGTGGAATATCACGCAGTCATAAACAGATGTCTTGAAACTTGCTACATGGATGAACCTTAAAAATATGCTGAGTGAAGTTAAGTCAATTCCAAAAGGACAAATACTAAATGATCACACTTTTATAAGGGAGCTTCAAAAAGTTTGTGTTAAAGGGAATTTTAAAATAATGCAATTTTTCCATAAAAATTTTGATGCCTCCTCATTGGATGTGGGAGTCCTGGAGTGGTGTTGTGGGTTAACTGGCTGGACTGCAAATTCGGATTGAACTGCAAGGTCAGCGGTTCAAGCTCACCAGGTGCTTCTTGGAAACCCTATACAGGGTTACTATGGATGGGAACCAACTCGATAGCACTTAACAACAACAACATCAGTTATAGGCAAATAGAGAAAGACCAAAGCTTATTAGTTATCAAGGGTAGAAGGAAAGGAGAAAATGGGAGTCATTGTTTAGGGGTCTCACTAAGTTTCTATTAATGCTGGGGAAAATCTGGAAAAGGATAATGATTGTACAACATAATAAATATAATCACTGTCACTGAATTAGACACATGTAAGGAGTTCTGGTAGCATAGTGGTTACGAATCAGGCTGTGAACCGTAAGGTCAGCAGTTCAAAACTACCAGCTGTTCCACGGGAGAAAGATGAGGCATCCTGCACCCATAAAGATTTACAGCCTCGGAAACCCTGTACAGGGTCTCAATGAGCCGGAACTGACTCCACAGCATTCTTCTATACAGAGCTCTCTCTGGTAGCATAGTGATCATGAGTTGGGCTGTTAACCTCAAGGTGAGCAATTCAAAACTACCAGGTGCTCCGCGGGAGAACGATGAGGCTTTTTGCTCCCGTAAAGATTTACAGCCTCAGAAATCCTATACAGGGTGGCCACAAGTAAGAACTGAGTCAACAGCACTTAACAACAAGTCATTACTTCAGGAGTCCTGTTGATGCAGCGGGTGAAGCACTGGGCTGCTAAATTAAAGATCTTCTGTTCAAACCCACCAGCAGCTGCACAGGAGAAAGATGAGGAGGAGTCTGCTCTCATAAGATCTCCAGTCTCAGAAACTCTGCGGAGCAGCTCCACTCTCTGTCCCACCACTACGAGTTGGAGGCCAGCTGTAGAGCAACAGAATTATCACAGGACTGCAAGGTTGGTTTGAAACACAAGGTCAACGGTTCAAACTCACCAGCTGCTTCTTGGAAACCTATTACAGGGTTGCTATGAGTCAGAACCAAATCAATGGCACTTTACAACAAAAACATAAGTTGGAGTCAATTTAACTAGTGGATCATGCAATTACTTTACTAAGGAGTATTGGTGGCAAAAAGGTTAAGTGCTGAGCTACTAACTAAAGGTTGGTGCTTTGAAATCACAACCTACTCTTTGTGAATCCGTAAAGATTATTGCTGTTGTTAAGTGCCATGGAGTTGGTCTGACTCAGCGACCCTGTATAGGGTTTCCAAGGGATGGCTGGTGAGTTTTAACTGCCAAATTTGTGGTTCAAATTGACTTTGCAGTCCAGCGTATTAACCCCACAGTGCCACAGCCTAGGAAATCCTAAAGGAGTCCTGGTGTGGTGCTGTAGAATAACCATTGGACTGCTAACTGCAAGGTTGGTGGTTCAAACCCACCAGCTGTCCTTAGGATACCTATACAAAACCACTGTGAGTTGGAACCCTTAACAACACAACAACAACCTTGTTCTACAGTGCTGCTGTGAGTCAGATCAGCTTGATGGGACAGAATACCAGCTTAAAGACCAGAAACTGGGCTAGAATTTGAAGTCCTTTTTCACTGTGGGAGAATGTTTTTAAAAGTCTTGAAAATTTTGTTCTGCCAATTTATTCTGTTCTTTTCCTTAGAGGTACCAATTATTGGTATGCCAGACTTACTGTGGAATCCTGGTGTAGTGCTATAGTATAAGCACTGAACTACCAACCACAAGGTTGATAGTTCAAACCCACCAGTCAGTC